TTAAATGGAACAGTGTTTATTAAGTATTACTGTAATTATTATTATCATTATCATTTATAGTTTACAAAGAAACTACTTAAGGTTTAATTCAAAACTATGATATAACGAAATATAGTCAATTGTGTTTAAACAGTCATTCAAAGAAATAGTACTGTTTTATCATATGATATATTGAATAAACAAACTATAACAACAAATGTTATATTCATCTTATACTTGATATAAGATTTAAATTGTTACTGGTACATGTTTACATTTGTTCAATTCTACATACTTTTCATTCCATTAACTTACATAGTTTAATTGTTGTCAAAATAATTTTTGTCAGGATACAGATAGTTACTACTCATATCATTCAATATTAATAAACATATTCACCATTATGACTACATAGACTAGATAAAAAAATAACTAATGAACGGTGCTTGTAGTTGTTCAATTTAACCATGAATACAGCTAGTAGTGTGTAATCTTAATCACTTAAGGAAAAAAATGTCTATCAAAATAGAAAAGATAACATGAAATATGATGAGAATTATTTGAAATTACTGTCATTATTAAGCTTAACAATAAAAATCTCAGACCGGACACTAAAATCGATCAACAAGAGATTTCAATACAGAATGTTTTTGAGTGAGATCATGAATCAATGAATGTTAAACCACCATTGAAAACCTGGATGCACTAGACGGCGTTCTGTCCTAGTATGGAACTACTCAGAAGCACGCATCCACGATCTCATGCGCGAGATTCGGACTCAAGACCTTCGATCTGGCGCGCGAACTCTTGAACTTTAGACCACTGAGCCGACACCCAACGGTGTTAATGTCTAACTAAAAATAATACACGAAATTAAGTGACCATCTTGTCTGAGGTAGATACCTGTCTCTATCTGACATAGATTAGCTTCACTGGTCACAGCTTCTAACTAGAACTCAGAGAATTCCCTCACGAAGCTAGTCACTAGTGAGCACATGACAATTATGAGTGTGGCGTTAAGGAAATTAACTCCGCCTGTAGCTCTTCTAGAGTTACTGCCGGTCCCAAGCCCGGGTAAAGGAGAAGGGTTGTGCATGGAGTTAGCGACCTCATCCCGTAGAAAACTAACTCGCTAAAAAAACGCTTACCAGAAAAAATAACCCAAACCATTTAAACTCTACCCTGGGAGTTAGAAAGCTGTCATTTGGAAGAACTATGATGCTTCATGGTGAAAGCCGAGGTCCTTCGGAAGCGACGAGGCTGATGCCCCTTCTAACAACCAGAGCAAAAATTTTTATAGGTACATGGAACGACCGGACAATGTGGGAGACCGTGAAGACCAGTCAAATAGCAACGGAAATGAGGAGATACAACTTGGCAGTACTGGGAATCAGCGAAACCATTGGACCCAATCTGGGCAGAAAAGGCTAGATACGGGAGAGATGCTGCTATACTCTGGCCACGATGCATTTCAAGTAAGGACCTGAGTCAGACAAGGCTGTTTACTCTCTCCCTTACTCTTTCTTCTGGTGGTTTATGAAGACCTCGACATCTGAGGAAAAACACACAATACAATGGACAGCTCAGAATCAATTAGACGATTCGGACTTCGCAGATGACCTGGCACTCCTATCACATACACACAAGCAAATGCAGATATAGACAGCCAGTGTAGCATCAGTCTCTGCATCAGTAGGCCTCAACATACATAAGGGGAAAACCAAGGTCCTCAAATTCAACACGGAGAACACCAATCCAATCACTCTTGATGGCGAAACTTTGGAAGATGTAGAGTCCTTCACGTACCTAGTAATCTTCATCGATTAACAAGGAGGTTCAGATGCAGACGTAAAGACGAGGATCGGCAAAGTAAGGGTCGCATTCCTACAATTGAAGAATATATGGAACTCAAAACAACTTTCAACCAATATCAAAGTGAGAATCTTCAATACGAACGTCAAGGCAGTTCTACTGTACGCAGCTGAAACTTGGAGAACTACAACAAGCACCATCAACAAAATACAAGTATTTATAAATGTTTGTCTGCGCAAGATACTCAACATCCATTGGCCGGATACCATCAGCAATAGCCTTCTGTGGGAGAGAACAAACCAACTTCCAGCCGAAGAAGAAATTAGGAAAAGACGATGGAAATGGATAGGACATACATTACACAAATCGTCAAACTGCATCACGAGGCAAGCTCTAACTTGAAATCCTGAAGGGAAGCGAAAAAGAGGAAGGCCAAAGAACACGTTACGTTGGGAAATAGAATCAGATATGAAAAGGATGAATTACAACTGGAGGGAGCTGGAAAGGATTGCCCAGGATAGGGTTGGATGGATAACGCTGGTGAGTGGCCTGTGTTCCTTCGGGAGGAGTAACAGGCGAGAGTAAGTAAGTTGTGGAAATTATTAAATTATTGATTAATGATCTCAATCACAAATTCAACGATCTCCACAACCCCACATTCAGAATGTTTTTTCTTCTCACTTTCTCTATACACATAGTTTAAAATGATATTATTTATGAGGGTAATACTTCCGAATAAAAAAATAATGTAATCACGTCATAAGACAGTGTTCTGAATCGATTCTCTTTAAACTATTCACAGTTTAATTGAAAGTTTAGTAAACTTAATAATCAACAAACCGTTCAAATTACACTTTAGTTAGTTATTAAATTGAAAATTGAAATGTATATTAAAGCAGATTTTGATTATATCTAAGATACCCTTTTCAATATATTACTGTGGACATTTCGAAATAATACTATAGAGGATTTTGCAAAAAGAAATTACAAAAAGACCTGATGATTTCAAATTTTATCTTAGATAACGTTGAAATTATGTTCTTCTGTGCGAAATCTTAAACTAGTTTAACAAAACTATAAGATATCACAGGTTGTAAACAGATGACGAGAACCTACGAAATCAAATGAATTCATACTATTCTGTTATAGCCTTTGTTCTTGCTTTTTTCAAAATGCTAAAGGGGACTATGTGTATGAAAATACAAGATAACACTTGACTTACAATAGTTTTCTAAATGATGACAGTCTATATTAAACATTCATACTTTCCGAATAATCTTATGCCTGAATTTGTTAGCACCTTACGTAGACTTACCTATCTTAGATTAATTAGTTATGTTTGTATATAATTATCCGAATTAATAAGATGTTATGACAGCTAAACATTTTCTCCGTTGTTACTAGATTGCATAATTACCACTTTTGTGTATGATCTTGTTTACTCATTACTAACAGAAAGCTTGCTTTTTCACATGATATTGTAACGTTCTGAAGATATAGCTTGTTTATTGTATAGAACACTAATCTATCTCATCACTTGCTACGTTTGAGGTCATATTATGACCTAAATATTTAGTCTTATTGGCAGCAACTAAAAATATAGTTACAATTTCAAATATTATATTTAGTACTGGAATGGTGCAGTATGACGAAATCAATAAATCACTAATCAGTAAAATATATTTTAACTTAAATTACGGACTAGTATCAACTGGAGAAGCAATTAAAAGCACACGGGAAAGTAACTAGGCCGTTGCTTTTTCTCGGTTTTGAGACTTTTTAAGGTTGCATACCTAAGACTCACGAAAAGTAATCGATTAAATTTCAACTTAGTAGTCATTAGGTATACTGACTGCTTCGAGACATAAAGGTCTTGGGTTCGATTACATATAGTATTATGGATACAGGTAGCGAATAAATGTTATCAAGTGCTTTCTTGTTTTTCGTTAATTTTTCAGCTAGTGTTTGTCCCTGATGAAAGTTAACTTCAATTCAAGTAGTCATGCAGTCGGTTCTCTTGAGAAACATATGTAAAACAAGGACAACCAACGTAGTGAAATCAAAGAAGTTCATTTCATTTCGTCCGTTCTACATCATTCACATAGTGATCTACATAAATAAAGTTTTTGATAAAAGTAATTTTTTGTATGACATGCATAAAGCTATGTAGTTTATTGGTGGAAAATTAATTGTGATTACTTTCCGTATTTACTGCAGTTTCTTATACCATCTCCGAACATTATTATTATTATTATTATTATTATTATTATTATTATTATTATTATTATTATTATTATTACCATAATTCCAATCACTAACTTATTCTAACTATACCAGCGTTGGAATGTTAGAAGCCTTGGACGGTCGTTTCATTCAAGTATAGGACTCCTCAGCATTGAGTCTTGGAATTGAACCCAGGATCTTTGGTCTTGCGCGCTAACACTTAGCCGCGAGACCAACAATCTATTGTCGATCGGTCTTATTCTTTAACTCCAAACAATTCACGATATTGCGTGACCGATTTCATCACTTGTGGAGGATAACTGTCTCACACTTGACATGGTTGAACTAGCACGAAACGGCTGTGAAGTACTTCTAATTTATTAATGGTAGCCTAATTAAGATCAGTTCCTAAATTGAACCATGAAAGTTCTACAATTTCCACCTACCTACATATTGTTATTATAGTCACCATTACTTTATTCTAACTTAATTGTAACAGTGCACATATTTCCTGTGTTCGATTACGTTATAATCGTTCACTCTCTCTCTCCTTCATTCATGATTATTCCGCTCATCAAGAAATTAATCTTATATTGATCTAAAGAGTAATTATAATTGTTTTTTTCACTAATAAACTACGTAGTTTTATGCATGTCATACAAAAAATTACTTTTATTAAAAACTTTATTTATGTAAACCACTGTGTGAATGATGTAGAACGGACGAAATGAAATGAACTTCTATGATTTCACTACATTGGTTGTTCTTGTTTTACATATATTTCTCAAAGGAACTAACTGCATGACATTCATTAATGTGTGCAATCATTCCTTCAGCTGATCAATGATTTTGTTTCTAAAAAGCTTATCCATAAGAAATTCAAGAATATCATTTAGAAGAGATAATTATCAGTCCGTTTAGTCATTCCAGTCTCTCCAGTAATTTATCAATTAACTATTCGGTTATGATAATAATAATAATAAGTCTATTACAAGATCAAATTATACTATTCAAGATGTTTGTTTTTTCTTGACAACAATAATATCTCGAATTGAACTACTCATTTACCGACAAACATGTACAAAATTATGGGTAAATAAAAAGATTTTAAAGTAAAAAGATCAGAATGAAGCAAAACAACACGAATCCGCCAATGAAATGAATAGAAGTTAACTAACCAAACTGTTGTATATCTGTCCATCAATAGATAAACAATATTGAAAGAATAATTTAATTGTTTTCATTCATGTAATGATACTGTTATGCATAGCTAAGACTTCAAACGAAATAATAATATAAGAATGAAGTAAAAATATTCAACCATATTAAATGGAATGTTGATAATGAAAATTTAAGTGTATTGGATAAATTTCTTACATGATTATAATCACTGAAAGTATTCAATGTCATTATGTCTGGTGAAAGTGTAGTTAAATCTTTAACATTTTTATATTTTAAACATGTTGGACATATTGGTGGTTGTCGTTGATTTATTGTATAAGTAGATGATATTGAATTGAAATCATTTTGTCCAGTTACTGAAGATAAAGAGGAATAAGATGATGGTTTTAAACGATCTTGAGTAAGATAAGTTGCACGTTTGTTTACTAAATAAGAGAATATCGAAATAAGATAATTATAATACTTATGTATACATTAGGCGTAATGTTATAAAGTTATCTTACTTAATGCAATAATAATTATTATGTGGATTTAAGTATTTTGGTTGGTGGTACTGATGAATAAATTGAATTAGTGGTTTGTATTTTTTTATCTCTTCAGTTGAACCACAACTGAGCTTCAATAGAATAACGAATGACTGGTTAAATTTTCTCAGTAGTCTAAAGATCCTCATATTCAGAGACAAGGAATATTTAAGCTAACAATTATTTCCAAGAACTTCATTATTACGAGCCATAATTATTGTATGACATTGACCAAAATAAGCGTTAAAATGGTGGAATTTTGCATTGGTTCATTCAAAAATATAAACAGTAGGATAATCCAACTCATTTCAAATTTAATTCAATCTCATACCCGTTGGACAAGTAGGTGGCTAGCTGGACTCAGTATTTAAGCGGATAACGTGAGGGTGTTCGAGGCATAAGATAATAGGTTCTAGTCCCAAAGTGAACATATTTAGTGGTCCATTATTTTGACGCCAATTATATTGGAAGATATTGTTGATGGGCTCACCACTTTTGTGGCCGTATATCTGACTCTAATTAGATCGTATGCATGATTGTTATTAAATAATTGCTACCGAAATATATATCCTGGCCATTCTGGTAAGTAAGTATTGACTTAACTTGCGTTAGTGAATAGCGGAATTAAATAAGTCAAATACGAGAATGAATTCCGAATACGTATATTTCATACAATCGTTGATCCAGACAAACTAGTGGAGAAACGAAGCGAAGACAAGAGAGCGAAGCTCAATGACGTGCAATGGAGGTGTGTGAGTTAACTCAATTTAATCAAGCGTTAACCTATATTTAGAGTCGAACAAAAATAAGCTAGAGACATGTGGCAAGATAAGAAATGATCACATATACGTTCATATAAAAACAGTCAAGGTTGATAAGCGAATAATTAACAGGGTCAAAATATAGCTTGAGGAGAATAGATAAGTTGGCTTATCTAGAAGCGAGAATAAGCTATGTAGGCTTGACATAGGACCAGCCACTACACATCAACTCTGTAATACAGGTACACCCAACTGACAAGTCCGAAATAAACGAAGAAATAACAACTAAATTTATGGCAAACTATCTGTCTAATGAAACACTGAAGTCATTTCTACTGGAGTAAAATATATGCCAAGTGCAGTTGTTATGTTTATTAATGCTAATTGTATACCCTGATGAACTTTTATAAAAAGCCTACTATTGATCTTAATATTAAATGGTGTAGTTTTTAATATTTCTTCTTTCTGTTCTATCGTTTAGTGAAATGGAATTCATATATTCAATAATAAAATGAATGATGAAAATCCGTTGTAGCGGTTAAACTAGTAATGTAACTTTTGAGATTAAATTACAGATACTGATTATTGAAGGCATATATAAAATTTATTTTTGAGTGATTACGATTGAAATATGTGTTGAAGACAAGTTTGTTACAATATTGGCTAGTTACCATTAATAATTCCTAACTGTAAGAAAATTTGTAGCGTTGAATAAAGAAAATATTGTCATTATTACTATAAAGAATATTTGAGTGTTGTGAGAACGGCTCACAGGTGAACTCGAAGAAGATCTGCGAAGATCAGAAAGAACCGAAAATATTCCATCAAATCATCTTTAGGTAGAATAATCCCGAATCTCTACATGTAGATTCCCTATCGGACAAATGCTAAAACCGCCCATCTTCGAATTGGATGACTATAATGATGATTTCGTTTTTACAAAACGAAAAACCATAAATACCTGATAGTTTTGTACTATATTCGACACTGTTTAGGATAGCATTCCTTTTATTTGTCTTCTGTATTCTCATTTGCATCTTAAAGGGTTCTAGTGTTTGAGTGCCCAAGTTATAGACGGTATATTAAGAATCTAAGTTCTAGATAGAACAGGTGTCTCTTAGAATTGTCTACATACTTTTTGGGACGATAATTATTTGTTCACACAATAATTGGAATTGAATATCTTTTTTACAAAAATGTAAATAATCGGTCATTTATTTATCTTTTGGGATAATTGAATTTACTTATGACATGATATTTGTAAGCAGTCGAAGTTAATGATGTTTTTTTTTCACCTTAGACTTTTATCGAAAAGAAAGCCAGTTTACAAAAAATACTAGGTACAGTACAGGATTACAGTTTTATTGTTGATAGCCTGAAATTTTCCATTTATGATAGATTCTTAAAATTGAACTCTGAAACATAGTATTACATGAAAAAAATGTTACAATAAATGGTTGTATAAGTTTGATGAGTAACTACTATAATGGATAGGTTACACTTTGAATTTATATACGATTATGTCTCTTATTAGGGTTGATTGATTTACAATATATTAGGGTCGCAAATTCTACTGTGTTAATCAATAAGATAGAAAATAAATTAAACCTCTCAACTACACATAGTAACATGAATTATTTAATACACATTTCAATAATGCTTGAATCTATTTTATTTAAATACTTTGCATGATTACATTTCCTTTACACAGTTAACCTCTATATTTATGCATGCTAATTCTTTTAGTTTCTACATCTATTTCTGAGTGATTTTAAATGTTCATAAAATTGATTGTTCAGATTATGTGAATAGAAATTTTCACATTATTATAATCAAGTTTGCTTTATAAGCATAGATTGATGGTGGCTATCAATGGAATGTAAGATGCGCGTTTCGTCCTAATTGGGACTCGTCAGCCGGATGTGCCTGCATCCATCTCTGCTTATAGTATTTGTGACTTAAGACAATATCAAGACAATCCGCACAGTTTTAAACATCAATCGAACGATTCAAACAACCAATACAAAATGAATTACAAGAGTGCTTTACTTTTCAAAGCTATTGAAAATATAATAGATAAAATAGTTATGGAACTGAGGTTATACAAATCAGAAAATAAATTAAGCGAATATGCATCGTAACTATATGTTTTGTTTTTCTTTACACTGGGTTGTGTTCTGTTGATTATGCTTAAACTTTGCTTCTATATAAAGAATAAACTGTTTTACTGCTTGTAAAATTCTAGCCTTGAACAGGGAAAGTTATAGATAATGGATGAGTAAATATTTGACAGAGAATATTTATCAATGCTATACCCCGACGAGAATTATGAATGGTAACTCTTGAGAACTACTTATGAAGAAATACGATACATATATTTTTATTGTATAATTGTTAAGTAGCTAAACTATGCATATTCATGTTCCTCCTATTATAAGCCTTATTTTGACCCATAGGCTGTTATTATGCAATTTACCGTTCTTGAGTTATGACCAGCCTATGAAATACAGTCTCGCACATTCGCAGCCACTTCTGGCTAGATCTTGTACAAATGTTGTTTTCTATTTTGTGATGCGATATGGTCTGTTTGGTTTGTATATGAACCCAGTATGCTTGAAATACATGATTCATACCGCAGAGGCTGAGATTAGTGTTCTGGATTCAACAGACAGGGTTAGGTAGGAAGAAGGACCGTTAAGGACGCTAGACTTCTCGTACAGGTTTACGCGTCATTGGTCCGGTCGATAATTCACTGTCCTCTAATTGGTGGTATAATTACGTTATACATTAATAGAGCACAAGATCACAAGTTATAACAATTAGTAGTTCCATTGCTGTGATACGAGACTGCAGATATGTAATATGAAAATAACAGATCATTTATCAGTTTTAATTCAATTATTTATAGAAGGAATATATAACTCTATTTGTTTTTATTGGATTGAATTTTATGATAAATTTTTATTATACCAGGAATTATTTTTATAGAAATATTGTATAATAAGATTATGTGAAATAGTCTGTTTAATAAAATTACTAAATTTAATTAATTGTATTGTATTATAAATATGGACCTCAAATGCCCTGGTACGGCCAAGAGAGGGGAGAGTCTGCTCTTCCTCTCAAAATGCTCCCACATGGCCACGTGTAATCAGCCATTGCTAAGGAAGTCCTACTCACTGAATTCTCGCGGAGTTTTGTTTACGAAATTGAATGGACGAAAAGTAAATGTCCGGCGCTTTAAGCGGGTTAGTGGATATGGAGGATCCACCCAAGGGGAGTTGAAAAACTCTCATTCCAAACCAATGGTGCACATGGGCTCCAGTATCCTGAAGGAACGAATGGCGTATGAACCAATCGTTGGTCACCGGCTACCATGGGACTACATCTTCTTACGATGCTCCACTGCCTTGTGGATCAGACCTTTAGGTCGAAGGCTCCAGGTGTGGCCCCCAAGGAAAACCACATTCTTTGGTTTGGACACCCGGGCAGTATCTGGTGCCCCTTGTACCAGTATTTATGTGTTCAAATAAATAAATAAATCATAAATATGAATATTTTAAGATTAATTAACCAATCAGATTAGACATTAATATCATATAGAAGGTTAAATTGATATTTAGTATTGTAATGTTAATAATGAAATTCTGTATATGAACTTTTATCCAAACATTAACAAAATATTTTGAAAATGATCATGTTTATATGAACTAGATATTTTGAGTGAAAATAAATTTGTATTCCAAAAATACGGATCGTTTTTCAATGTGTATAACTTTATTAGTGAAAAAATAACTATTGAGATAAGTTAGTCACTTATTAAAAAATTTGAAGCGATTACGAGTTCGTTTAATCTGCGAACGGAACAAAGACTCTGTGACCAAAGACCAATAAGTTAGCTATTCCGATGTGTTCCAGCCCCTATAACTAGAGAGAAATATATTCTACAAGCAGCCAGAAGCACGAGCAATCACGACAATTCTAATCGGAAATTTACTTACTTACTTACGCCTGTTACTCCTAATGGAGCATAGGCCACCGACCAGCATTCTCCAAACCACTCTGTCCTCCCCCTTCTTTTCTAATTCCATCCAATTCTTGTTCATTTTTCTCATGTCTATTTCCATTTCCCGGCGTAAT